GTTTCGCATTGTTCAGATCGCCTGTGATCATCAATGAGTATGACGAAGAAGCCTCAATGAGAGGAAGAATCCTTCCAAGACTGCTTTGAGGACTGCCTTGAATCATGCAGTGTTGTATTTGCATTCATCAGTGATCGCTTTCGTTCTTTTCTAACGGTTATCTCGTCAGATGACTGGCAAAGCGAAAAATCTGTAGCAGAAATCGTAGACGTCTGTGAACCCGTGTTTGTAATGGGATCACACGAAGGAAATGTTCTGACAGTATGTCCTTCTTTTCCGAAATTTTTTTTTGTGCAGTGTTGTTTTGTGGGAATCGGTTTTTAAATGGGGCTGAGCAATGGAGGAGGACGAGTACGGTAAACGAATCTCTCGTGAAAATGAGACCTCTTTAGGAGGGCGAAATTTGGAAGTTGAGGAATGAAAGTAGAGGATGTTTGGTAATCTGGTCCGTTTATGGCCATAAAATTTCATGTGGTCATAAGAAATGTTAGTCTGAATAGAGGTTGCCTCCTTAGGATAAATCAGGGAGAGCTTTGATATCTCTTACCATATTTGAGGCAGTCTCTCTCGCATTCATCTGAGCAATTTGCTGACGTTTCACACAGAAAATCAGGACTCATGACTTTGATTGTGTCCTTGAATGTAGTGCGTAGTTTCGTTGGAGTACGGCACGTTGTTTAAGAATCATTAACTACAATTAAATTCCGTGTAGCAGATCTCTTATACTGGTATCTTAAATAGTGACGATAACACTGGATATGAGTGCTCACCGCCCTTGGAATTACGTTAATCGTACCAGAGCCAAGTTCATTGGCTTTTTGAAAGTTCTTGGTTTTTTCAAAGACAAGCCTCTGTGGTGGCCACTGCGATTAGATGGGGGGGGGGAGAGTATTGCGTACTTCGTCATGTCAAAAATCCCCGTGCACTAATGGTTGCATGCCACCTTGAGGAAAGCGCTCTTTCGATCCGGTAATAGTCGTTTCCTGAGCATGGCACATGATTGATTCTTGAGTTCGATTGGAGTCTCAAGTTTCCGGGACTCGCCTGCGACCACAGTCCCCTCGCGTTCATACTCATTTGATTACACCGGCGCTCACCTGCGCCCCAACCTGTCCTTGAAATGTAAACATTAGCGGCTGCATTGAAAAACTGGCATTCTGATCATGCGTTTGACTTTGTTCGCTTCCCTTTCAGGTTTTCCATGACTCAAACCTGAACGCCTACCACTGCATTAATAAATACCGTTTACCGAACGATAGGTTCTTTTGGCATTGCCGTTGCCGTTCTACCCCTTTACTGACATTGCATCAACCCGCATGACTGGCTAGAAGTTTGCACACCACCATTATAGGTTTTGTGATTCAGGGTCTAATCACTTGTTTGAGGTTACGAAGAATGCATGAAGTTGATTTGACTTATGACATAGCCAACTGGCAGCCACCACGAAAAGTGGAAGGACATCCTCCGGCAGAGCTGCAATCTTTAGGAGTATTTTTTTGGAGTAGCAATGCAAATTGCATAAGAATACGTTAATCCTTCTGTAGTCTGCGAATGCCAAAAGGTAAGAACTAGTAACCCATGGCATGAAGCCCGAATGTTGATGAAACACACAGTTTAATTCATGACGCGGCTATTACAAACCAAAGGTGACTGATAGAAAGCCGTCTTATACATTCATCAACGTAGCTGGGTAGGGGAGACGGGTGGACATTGATTAACGCAGGGGGGGTTAGGAACTGCAAATTTACAAAACTGAAGTTTTATTCAACCGGTACTGTTCCAATGCAGTACTCTATGGTACTCTATCTATTTTGTTCCAGCAGTCGAACGCAGATTTTGGTCTACGCTTTGCAGATTTTCACAGTGCTTGCAACACGTTCATGTGACCTACAAGCAAACATTCGTCAATTGCAGACTAAAATTATTAAACTATTCTCAGAGACAAGTTCGTGGAAGTCAAGGCCATGTCCAGCGGATATGTCATGGCAAGGAGATTGAGATCAATATCCACCTCTTCTACCTATTATGAATCTGAAGGCACAAGGTAGTTTTTATAGAAAAGTCTTTGACAAGCGTACGTTTACGGGGTACTCTGTCAACTCCATGACACTTTGATCCTAGTTGACCATCAATCCATGGATGACCCAGAAACTACGCACTATGCACGACGTATGGAAGCCTGAACTATAGCGATTGCAGAAGCAACGGAATACGTAAATAAGGGGCGGAGCGAAATTGATGTGAAGGTGATGAACTAAAATGGCATTATGCAGATCGTGTTTCAATAAGAGCTGGGCAAGGTTTGTCGGTGACAGGGCTTGCTGGGATCGCAGAAGACGACTGAAGGAAATTTTTGAGGCTCGAAAGCAAGAACAGTATTATCTGTGACACTCTTTTTTGGCTCCGCTTCTCCTACTTCGTTCTGTTCACCTGTGTTTTGCAAACATGTTGCGAAAACACAGTATATGTTTATATTTCTAAGATGGAATTTATAATTTTCAGAAGTTTGCCAGTGGCCAGTCTGATTCCATTCCTATGTGGTTGCTTTCTAGTCGTGCGCACCAATTTGCCAATCGGCTTCCAGACGTTGGCATTTAGTTTCTTTCTAGTCACTGTTTTAATAGTGGAATGGTGACACTATTAAAATACTGACCTCGAGTTCATGAGTTACGAGGTAGTGCACCTTTCTTCGGCTTGAGTGACAAAGCCGTACATCCGGCCCGTAATGCTACGGCCACACCTACGTCAAATGGACATTCAAGAGCGTCACACATGTAACATAGTTTATTAGTCATAGGTGTGTAATAAAAGGTGCCACTCTTTGGCACAGTTGGTTCCATGGTTCCACACTGAAATAACCTCTATGTGCAGAATGCGTTAAATTATGAAATTTGCATGATAGTTGAAATGAGGGGATGCAAAGATGCGATGGAGACGTTTTATTTAAGAACTTAAGCTGGTTGCCGTTCTTCGCCCTTTTTCTTTTCTAGGCTGGGACGGTCTAGTGTTCGTTGAACTTATATTCAAGGGTAGTTGCAGTAGCACCTAGATGGCGCACTTGATTATGCGGAGGAATGAGGATGAATTTTCTATCAAGGATTGTTCTTGGCCAGAAAACGCGATTATGCCATGATCACCTTCACCCAAAGAATCGAAAAGTTCACCAGAAGTTGTTGAATCGAAGTTGGATGGACAGAAACTTTACGAATACAAAGCTTGGCCAGGTGTTTTTGAAGGAGGTTGGGTAAAATATGGACCCATCATAGGATACTTAATGGATAGCATGCACACTATTTTTGTTGATATGTAGCACAAGGGTGAGCTTGGAAAGGAAACGTTAAAATGACTTTTCGGGGCAGCAGTGGCAAGATACGCCAGGCATTATGATCACTGTTGGAAAAGATTGAAATAAGGTAAATGGTCAGGCGTTGAAATGGTATGAACGGACCAGCTTCTTCATCTTCATCATCCATAACCGCGGAGACAGACGCAAAAATATGGCAGGAGTCTGCTCCTGGCTGCAATTGTCTTCTGACCAAGCTCAGACTCTGAAACAGGATCGGGACCGTTGGAAGCTCTGAAGCTGACTAACAAATCGGATGCCAGGCTGACAGGCAACCTAACAACGAATAGAGACAATAAGCGACGCGGTCTGTCATGACCTCCCAAAATTCAGCCTGCACGATACAGTTCGAGGATCAA